ATTATTATATATATATTTTTTTTTTTTATTATTATTTTTTTTTTTATTACAGTTTAAGGTGTGATTTTCCCTGATGGGTTTCTAGGATACAATTGATTTATTTTTGTCCAAGTGATCCTGAGATAAGTATAAGTAGAGATGGTATTTATTGCAAAAACTGTCTTAAAAACTCTTTTAAATTATTATTATATTATATTGTTATATTATTATTTTACCATGCATTCATGATTTTTCTTGTTTTTCAGATGCCTTTTCTGCATAAAGTTTGTTTTACACCATTTGCATGCAGTGTCGCACCACTTAAATCTGGTGTAGACATGGTGTTACAGTTGTCCCAGACCCAGTCTGTCAGTCTTAAAATTACAAAAAAAATCATAAAATATTATTACATTTTTAAATCTTTATGACCTTAACAATTAAACAGGAGTGACATTAACACTAATCATTTTAGTATTTATTGGGTAAAATTGATTTAACCCATACATTTCCCACTCATTTAAACCAAAAACATCCATTTTACCCCTAATGAAGGTAGTCAATCAAACATTGGTGCAGTATACTGTGTATATTGTATGAAGATAGAGTAGTTTTATATTGTGTCATTTCCAGTCAAGGTGTAATGTAGAAAGTAGAAAATGTTTTTTGTGAAATTAACCTAGCAAGATGGAGTCAGCCATTTTTTTTTTTCCTAAAAATGTAATTTCCATCATTGTCATTTCCACCACAGAATGCTATGAAAATCTGTATGTAATCTGACATGGTGGAAATGACATTTGTTGGTTCAGAAAAATGTCGGTTTATTTTCTAAAAGGAGACAAAACAGCCATAAGACTTTTCCTTATAAGGACTGATCTTCTTTTGTTATTTGCCTTTCTAGATTTCCAGGTCTCATCGTTCAGCAACTCTTCACACAACCAGTGTTTGCAGTTTGCCTCAAAGCCTCTCACCCAAAACCATGTCAACCATCACATGCCCTCAGACTCTCAGCTGCCACATGTCTCCCTCGGCTGCAAATCATTCACTCCCTTTAATGGCACATGTGATGAGGATCGCAGCAGCTTGGCCTCTCAGGACTCTGGAATCCCCTCCCTTGAGATGAACCCCCCTGAGCACATTCATGCTCGAGTCACCACTGCTGAGCTGGTGGTTCCACCTCCACATGATGATAGTCCAGCAACACTAAACTTGGATATTTCAGATAGCTCCATACTCAAGTCTTCCACCTTCCCACGTTGTGACTTTGATTTGGTACGTCCTTATGGTGCCGGCGGGCCCTCCAGTGCGGCAGGCAAGGGTACTTTGAACCGCAGTGATGATATTTCAATGTGCAGTGTTTCAAGTTTAAGTACTGAGTTTTCTGCCACATTGTCTGTCAGTAATGAGGACTTCCTAGACTTTATGGTTACATCCGAGTCCAGTGCTGTTGTTACATTTGAGAATGAAGATGTCTTGCACCATTCTGACAATTCACTCTCATCTCCTACTGACTTACACGGCAAGCTCAGCAGCCCTCAAAGGCATCCTGTGGGGGTCTCTACACCACATGAGGCTAGACCCAAGAGACTGGGTCCACTCGCCAGCTTCTTCCACAGGTATCGTAGCATTTGCATTTGTAATGTTGTTAAATTCACACCAAGAAACTAATGATTTGTGTAGTATTATTAATGCGTATGATTGTGTGAGCTTCACCAAATGTTGCCTTTCAAATAATGTTGCATTGTTATTATTATTATTCAACAAGCTTTAAGCTTTTTCTAATGTATAATTGTTTTTGTTCCTTTCATTTTTTTAGTTTCGTTATACTTTTCATGTGTGCAATTTTCTTGGGTACCCTTTTTCTCTATTGTTTCTGCTGGAATTCTGAATATTTCTGAAGATATTTCGAAATATCTTTTTTTATATCTTTTTTAATAAAATATTTATTTTTATATATAGGTTTTTGTATTGGGGTAGCATCCTAAAAATACTATTTCTGTGATTTTTGTTGTTGTTGTTTTGTCTTTTAGTATAACAACCTACATTTGCAATGTTTCAGTTGTCACTCAATTGTAATCTCCCTTTCTATCTCAATTTCAGATTATAGGGTATGCTGGTGTTTCTCATCACAAGTGATTTAATATTTTCATATTTTTCTTTCTAATATAAATTGTCCTTTTAAAATAAACAGTTTCTTGCAGGCCCCAATTCAGCTATGATATGCAGTACTTGATATAACACTGATATACTTCAGCTTTTGGCCCCATGATTTTGCATATTACCATCATCAACCATATCAGTTTCAGTGCTGCTGAAGCACTCATGTATTTGTTTCACAAGCATTGTGGAATATAAAAAATGGCTTGTAGATCAAAAATGTTGAGAAGCCACTGAATAGCGTGGCCATGTCTCCAAATTGCCTGCCCTTTTTATCTCTGCAACATGGACTTTCTTGAAGCTTTTCTCGATCTTAAAACAGCTCAAATGTTATTTTTCCCCCCTTGTGCCTCACTCTCTAGTCTCTACTATAGTGCAGTAGTATTCTTTTCAGTTTCTCTCTTTGGTCTGTGTATTTAGTGAAATTCACATTCGTGGAATTCACATTGCTTAAAAATAGTGAAAATATATGTATTTTAAAACACACTAGAGAAGGTAATTATCAGTAGATGTAGCTCTCTATTAACTCGGTCCTTTTATTTCTTTTCTTTATTTGTAAGGAGTCTTTTTGCTAAGAGGATGAAGGATACGGGTGCACAGGAAGAACAGAGAGAGCCTGGCTGGAAGCTGTTTGGTAAAGTTCCACATAAAGAACTTTCAATCAAAGACTCCAGGAAAATACAAAAGGTATGTTCACACACCTGCACTCATACAAGATCTTACAAGAAGTCAAAATGCAATGTACCTGATTTTTGAGTGCTTTTCATGTAGTAGGGTTGCACCGAAATTGTGAAAATATAGTTTCTGTATTCAGTGTATTTTTATGATGTACATTGAGTATTGCCCTACCTATTTGAAGGTTTAGGCCACATAAATGTGATGTCAGATCCTCTTTAACAAAGCAAGTCCTGTGATGTGCTGCTTTTAAACTAAAGACTGAGATACACTACATAATGTTAGTCCAGGATTTTGCCTTAATTTGCTGTCTGGCGAAGTCAGAGCCAGATTTTAGCCAGTCTGCAGATTTTGGACAGTCGGAGTTGACAGATTTTGCAGAGTGTAGTAGTGTATGATGTCCAGTCTGAGGATATCAAACTTGCTTGATACTTTGAGCCAATTTAAGAACACATTGTTTTTATTTGTCATGTGTCTCTTTGATGTCAGAAATATGCTGGGTAACACTTTCCTCCCATGACCGCTTGAAAAGTTTTTCTCACCTGAAAGAAATGATTTTAACAGTGAAACATTTACATGTTTAAAGATTTGTTTATATAAGTTTATGCATGAATCAATCGAATGCAGAGTTATGATATTGTTGTGAATGGGGCTTTGTTTCCTGTGTACAGGCCTGCTGTTTGCTTTAGGTAATTTGAACCCCCTGATTCAGCCTCCCCATGACCATCTAGATTTCATCCACATCCAACTCCTGCCTTTAGCTCTTGATTTTGTTCTCTGCAGCTGTAATGGAAGATTGGGGTATTGGGTGACAGGTTTAGAGCTGCTGGTTTATTTAGGCTCTGTAGCAGTGGCTTATAGGAAGAGATGAGTTAAGATTAGCTTAAAGTGCCCCTATTATGCCATTTTTAAGGTTGCTAATATTGTTTTCTGAGTCTCCTAAAACAGGTTTACATGCATGCAAGGTCAAAAAACATGTTAGTTTTCTCAAAAAATAGATTTAATTTGACCTCATTTCTAAATGATTTGTAAACGACTCGTGCGAAGCAGTTCGAAGAATCTGTCTCTAAACCCCTCCTGTCCGTGAGCCCTCACTGCTGTGATTGGTCAGATGCCGCAGTCCTTTGTGATTGGTCCAGAGCCGTAGAAAGATTGGCTCTGGGTTGGTCTACTGCGTACAGCGCATGTCGGAAACGAAAAGCCCATTGCCATGATGGAACGACAGCCCTGGAGACTTGTCAATACATAGAAAAGATGGTATCGATTGTACCTTACCAATTCGATGATGAAACAGTTGAAGTGGCTGATTGACAAGAGACTGATTCGCAAGCACGACTGGAGCAGGACGTTTCTCAGTTTAATATTATGCACTTCTTTCCTGCATCAGTGCTTTTGACTTTAAATATTGCAATATTCTACCTGTCTGTAGTCCCTTAAAACTTTACAACTAAAACAAGCAAATGTACTTGTTTTAATTGTAAAGTCTCAAGAGACTAAAGTGGTTAGTGGTTAGAATGTTACTTGCTATATTTTATTTGAATCCGTGGAAGCTTATGAGAACTGATGACACACGGGCCACATAAAGCAGATTATTTTTTCATCTTTGTACATGACTCAGACATGCACAGCGGAGCACAGAGTGCACTGATCACATGAGACTGCAGTGCAGAGAGCCTTGTGCTCCTAATAGCTGGAATCAGTTAGTATGCCTGTAAATCATGGATCCTCTCTCAGCACTGTGATGATGACGAGTAACATTAGCATTATGTACACACACACATATGGACACAGCAGGTGCACGGGACAAGGTCTGATCCTCTGCATCCCTCTGATGTAGGGCCTCCCAGTTGGGTGTGTGTTTGTTAGGACGAAGTAATAGAGAGAAAGAGGGCAAGGAAAAACGGTGTCAAGTAACTTAGCAGGAGTGAGACAGCAATAACAGCAGAGGAGCAGGAGCACAGTAGAAACATGCTACTGTTTCTCAGGGTGTGTCCCATATTCCTTGCGGTCTTCTTCTGCCGCTGTGCCTTGCCTTTCGGTCTACAAGGCACTTAAGCTTGTAGCTGTGGAAATACAGCAATGGTGTAGAGTGTAGTGTCTGAAATGCTGGATTCTGAATGTCTCAAAAGCACCGCAACGTTCATGGTGAGTTCATGTCTTATTTTTTCTTTTTCGTTCCTTGTTTTCTGTCTGATGAAAAAGAAAAGGTGAGGAGAATGAGAATGAGAAGGAAGAGAAAAAAGAGCATTTGAATGGAGGAAATGACGTGTACATGGTGTTCATGTGTAAGCACATTTGTGTGTGTTGGTGAATTAGACTATATTGTTGTCCTGTTTGTTTGGTTTGCTGTCCCTCTTTCACTCTTAAAACCAATCAGGAGTTTCCCGTCTAATCTTACTTAATGTCCTTTTCTTATACACATTTGGCTCATAGTTGGAATGTAGGTCATTTTGTCTATAGTTTTATCTCTGAGAGAGTGCAGTGCAGGGGCAAATTAAATATTTATATTCACTCATGAGCGATAGGGTGTGCTTTCTGACTACATAAAACAAAACGTATTTCTTTATCTTCGTTTTGTTCAGATACACAGATTTACTTCAGAATTACTATTCAGGGTGTACAGTGTGTGACATGAGACTTTGTAAAGAAACTCAAATGCTGTAACAGTAGCAAGTTGTTCTTATTCCATTTGTGACCCATTGTGTTTGCAAAGAGTGTTATTTTTCACAGTTCCTGCTTGTTTGAGAACTTCTGCTTCCACTTGTGCAGGTTGTGAAAAGTATTGTGTGGCAAAAACCCTGGATGTTAAAAACTTGTGAAAGCATTAGTTCCACGAAGTTCTTATGTCTAAAACATTGAAATGTATTATTTATCATTTTCTTGAGGATTAAGCCTCATTGCCATAATCCAAAATCATCAGTACAATATGGGGAAAAAATGATTTAACAATTTTAATTGTAAAGTGTAATTTTTTTATTGTAGTATATGTTGTATTGTGTTTCTTTTAAGCAGATTTCATTAAAATATTACAAAACTATTACATTAATCAGAGTTAAATGGAAAAAATGACAATTGTAAAAATCTCTTTGAAATGTTTTGTTGTTGTTGCGAATTACCTGTTTTTTTGTTTAGTTTTTTCGCCCAGCTGGCCTTGAACTGTTTGAAAGTGTATCGTTTGTTGTAATTCTTTGGACTATATACAGTGTTGGCTTTTGCTTCTCATGATTGAAATGTGTTAACAGGTGTTTTTATCATAAGATTATTTATATGTTTGCTTTATTATATTTTCATTATTTTATAGATGATTCATAAAATGTGTATATATTTATTGTAAATTATTTGTATTTATTTATTTATTTTATTATTTTTTTTGAAGGAATATGAAAGGAGTGGACAGTCAAGCAGTTCCATATCTCCCAATAAGAATGTAAGAAGGAACCTGGACTTTGAGCCACTTTCAACCACAGCCCTTATACTGGAGAACCGTCCAGCGTAAGTGTTTTTGTATGTCTCCTCCTGTCCTGAAACCTCTCATTCCTGTATTGTCCTAGAACAAAAAAAAATTCCATCTTGCAAGCAATGTTATACCAATGCAGCACAGTAGATAATGAATAATAAAGGAGTTATAAATGTAAAGTGTTTTAGAATGTTTTCTCTCACAGATAGTAATGTATCTGTTGACAGTCATTATGTATCTGTGTGTAGGAATCTTCCTGCAAAACCTGAGGAAGAAGCCCAGAAACACAGACAAGAATATGAGGAGATGGTAGCTCAGGCCAAGAAGAGAGGTGACTTTTTCACACATTTGTTTGTGCCTGTGTGTCCAGTTTTGTGCTGTAGAGGGCGCTGTTGCAAAAGCTGAAATTGAATCCTGTTGAAACCCATTTCCATTTGACTTCCGTTCCTCCTCTCTCACTACGTACGTGTGTGTGTGTGTGTGTGTGTGTGTGTGTGTGTGTGTGTGTGTGTGTTTCTGTGCAGAGCTGAAAGAGGCCCAGAAACGGAAAAAACAACTAGAGGACAGGTGTAAACTAGAGGAAAGCATCGGCAATGCTGCTCTCACCTGGAGTCAGGAGATATTACCCAACTGGCAAAGCATGTGAGTATGCACACAAAAATCATTGACAATATATCACGCAATCAAATATTCTTGACATTCCATATAATTAAATAACAGACAATAGATCAAAGAAGAGCCAAAAACATTCCAAGGAGAGTAATATTTGGCAAGAGATGTACTGACCAACTAGTGAGAGACATGGACTAGAATTTAGTGCATGTGTACTGACATGTTGAGCTCATGTGAGCAATGTGTGTTTAAACCAGATACAGCTCTTATCCTTATTATGTCCAATGATCTCTGCTATCCCTGTGAATAAAACATAAAAGTGGCTGAAAGTCCAAAAAGGAAATAAACAATGTAACAATTAAAATATGCTTAGAGAAAAAGATATATAAACGCAAATATATAAAAATGATGACTTGCTTCACTCTGTCCTTCTCTTCACAATTCCAGGTGTTCATCTAAGCGGGTGAGGGATTTATGGTGGCAGGGTCTGCCACCCAGTGTGAGGGGCAAAGTCTGGAGTCTAGCGATAGGCAATGAACTAAACATCACAGATGGTATGAATGGGTTTTATGTGTGCTTTATCACACACACCTCACACATACTGGATAAGCACATACAGGAAAAGATTACTTCGGACATAATTTTTTAAAATTCCAAATGTATGGATAAAAAAAGAATGTTAAATATTAAGTTTTTTCTATTTTAAATGTGTATTTTGTGTGTAATTTATATAAATCACTTTGTATTGTGGTTTTGTTTTGTTCATGGTGTTTCACAAGCAGCGTCCTGTGGTTTGATTTGTCTTTAAGTTTAAACTTTTTTTTTTTTCTCCGGTATTATTTTTTTATTAACAAAAAATGTAATGTCATGTTTTAATGGTAAAGTTGAGCGTGTAGGACTTGATAGTACAATCCCTTAGAATAATCGGCACTTTGTTGACATCTTGAGTGGAGAGTAGGGGTAATCACTTCATTGGGGTCATCAGGTGGGCGCCCTCCTTCCTCTGTGTTTCGTTGATAGGCCCACGACACCTCCAAAGGGCTCAACAGCAACAACTGGCATCCCAGGTGTGCTCCCCTCTGCTTTTACCCCTCTAGGTCATTTTGCAGCCCATTTGGGATCCTTTCTTTTTAGCCAGAGCCAGTTGCTGCTTCACTCAGCAGCCTCTGACAGCGACCTAATGGCTTGTCGTAAGGCCTGTCCTCTGACTCCCAACCCCTTCAGTAGCCTGGTTGTTGCCGTGGCTACAAAACCTCTTCACCCAACCTCTACGGGGAGCAACTGTGTTCGCCAGCCACGTTGTACTGCTTCAGTTAATAGGTCTGAATACTTCAGCCTTTTATGTTCATTTGCTTCACCAATTGCAGCCTCCCTTGGCACAGTTAGTTCCACGATGAACAAGGACTTTTGTGAGGTTGACCACAGTATTAGGTCTGGCCTGAGGTTAGTTGTAATTATCTCAGGTGGAAAGCTGAGCTTCTGGTCCAGATCAATCTGCATTTTCCAGTCCCAGGCATTGTCCAGCAGGGTTGTTTCTATTTTTGTAGTTGGCTTTACTGGAAGCTGTCGTGCTCTTACGAAGGTGGTGGCTTTTGAGAATCCAGGCGTTGGAGGAGGGAGGACATTGGTGGTGATTCTCCTTCCCTGCAGGATAATCGCCAGTTGTCTCAGAACCTGATTGTGCCTCCAGGTGTAACATCCTTGGGAAAGACTGGTTTTGCAGCCGACGAGGATATGCTGGGGTTTGACAGAGAGGACATGATGGATCTTCTCCAATCCACTGGTTTAGGTTCTTGGGTGTGGGGAGAATATCGTAGGTGGCTCTGATGATGAAGCTCAATCTGCTTCCTTCCATCTCCCAAAGATCCTTCCAGGTGAGTTTACGTTGCTCCAGATTTTCCCAATTAGTCCACTGTCCCTGTTTGGACTGCGAGACAACCTTTGTGCATCTCTCTGTCTCCTCTTGCTGCCGGACCTTGGTTACTATCAGTTTACTCCTCTAGGCGGATGTTGCTTTGTACCATATGGGTCGGCTTGTCCCAAGTCCAAAACCCCCTCTTCCCTGCTGCACCTGTCCTACAATGTCTCCATGCCTGAGAGTGGATTTTGCCTGCTGTATGGCCTCAGTCGGGGTCGAGCAGCCGCTTGTAATATAGCATCTTGAGACTCGGTCACGGTCATGTCCAGTCTCACTTTGGTGCACTTGAACTCTTCAGTGAGGCTAGAGACGGTCGGTTCCAGGGCACTTTTCCCATACAGGCCGATATTGCTGAGGCATCGCGGGAGTCCAAGCCACTTCCTGATATAAGAACTGACTGTTCTCTCCAGCTTCTCGATTTTGGTAATGGGGACATTATATGCATGGTTTAATGGTAATGGTAACGATGTTATATGCAGTAATAACCATGCTTTTGTGGTTGTTTACTGTGAGAACTCTGCACTGAAAACTGTTGTGGTTTAATTGTTTTTGCAAAAGTGATCTGTTGTAATTGAGTAGAAAAGTAAAGAAGGTTTAATTGCACGAATGGTGAAAATGTTGAATAGCAAATGATTCTGAAGACTATGATTGATTATGGGTAGTTAGTTTTACATTATTGTTTAAACATTGCCTTTATTTAAACACAATGCAGTTACACTTACACTTTTATGAAATTTGATTCATAAGAACAGTTACATGTAATAACCAAACTGTATCACTAGGGGGTCACATTGCAAAGCATATAGTGGTTTTAGATTTACATATGTAGTTCCACAAAGCCGTTTGCACCATGCTCTTCCGTCACTTGATCTTTTATTTTGGTGCGTCACTCTATTAAATTGCTTAGTATATGAAACCATGATCCGCACTCACAAAAATGAATGTCTTCTTTTTACATTTTATTATACATTTATCACCAATGGGGAAAACCCACAAATCTTTTGGCTCAAGGCCTTCTTCAGTGTGTTAAACCCAGTGTCCTCTGTTTTTGTGAGTGCGGATCATAGTTTCATATACTAAGATTAAAGTAAATAAAGTGAAGTAAATAACACATTATTATTTGTGTGTATGTGTTTTAAACAGAGCTGTATAACATCTGTTTGGTAAGAGCCAAAGAAAAGTGGAATGCCTTTGTAGCCCCAACGGCTGCTGCAGAAACAGAGAGTGAAGGTGATTGTTAGGCATTTTTCATTTTCATTTTTCCAAGCACATGGTACATGGTTTTTCTCCTCTCTTTTGTTGGAATAACTTCTTTAATCTCATATAAAACATTATTTATTATACTTTTTTTATTATTTTATTATCCTCTTTTTATTTTCCTTTATTTCTCCCCTTTATCAGCAGCTTTCCTTGCTGTAAACTCCTTTGCTTTAATGCCCTTTTGTAACTAATTATTGCTTATTTTTCAGATGCAGGCTTGTCTCATGCTGATCGAGAGGCCAGTCTAGAACTGATCAAGTTAGACATTTCCAGAACCTTTCCCAATCTCTGTATTTTCCAACAGGTAGGGTGCATTGTTGTTTCTGGAGTTTTATATCATCTGCTGACAATTGTGTCGTCATATTTTGGGGTTTTATTTTCAGGGAGGCCCATACCATGATGTATTGCACAGCATTCTGGGAGCTTACACTTGCTATCGTCCTGATGTGGGATATGTAAGTCTTGTTTATCCAAGTGATGTCTGATGTTTTTTAAATGTGCTCTGCACCACTGCACTGTTTACAAGCGAAACCCCTCTTTATCCCTCTGTGACCCATATTTCATCTTAACCTCAGTTTGCTTGAGTATTGACTCGTACAAAGAGATGTTCACAGAGTATAACAGAAACTGACAGAGATGCTGTGTCGTACAGCTGGTTTGCTGGAGTATGATGAGCAGTTCTGTTCCAGTTATTACGCACGTGATAAGCAGAGCCATAGAAATAATTGTTGCACATGTGAGAACGATGAGCAATGTGTGCTGCACAGCCCTATTACATCCTGCTCACAAACCACAATATCAATTGTTGGCCAAAGAGCTCTTGCACTTACACCTCCACATAGATGCTGGGTGTAAAGGTCATATTATAAACTTCAAAAATTAAAAGATAAATTGAGAACATGTTTTCCGGTATTCTGTCACACTCTTAATGTTACTTAATCAAACACCTCCACTGGTATGATGCAAAAAAAATTAGAATATCTAAGAAATGTTAGCTGCCTAGTTTAGAAAGTTTGCATGAAGAATAAAAATAAAAACTTTAAGTGAAAAACATTTAATTCAAATGTCAATCTTATGCTCACCATGGCTGCATTTATTTGATCAAAAATAGAGTAAAAACATTAAAAAGTCTTAATTATTCCAAACTTTTGACCAGTAGTGCACTTGTTAAACATGACAGTTATTAAGACACAGTGTGCTTATGCTGCATCTGTGCTTGTTATCAGTTTGAAGTGTGAATACAGAAAGGAAGCACTGATCTGACGTTTAGGGGGTAAAGCATGTTGTTTTAGGGGTAGGAATAGATGCTATTTTGTAAACATCACTCGTTCATCAGTTCAAGCTTAGCGTTAAAGATAAATCCTCATATTTTTAATCTGTATTATGTGTTTGATGTGTAGGTGCAGGGAATGTCCTTTATAGCAGCAGTGTTGATTCTCAACATGGACACTGCTGAAGCCTTCATTGCTTTTGCCAATTTGTTGAACAAGCCTTGTCAAATGGCTTTCTACAGAATGGACCACAGCCTTGTGAGTTATGAGCAGTCTTGAAGTTTTTAAGTTGTGCGGTCAATAAGAAAATAGTCATTAGTCAAGACTATTCATATGCTCTTATCTTTTTTAGATGTTGACATACTTTGCCGCATTTGAAGTGTTCTTTGAAGAAAATCTACCAAAGCTTTTTGCACATTTTAAAAATAACAACCTGTCCTCTGATATTTATTTAATTGACTGGTAAGTGAGTTACTTTTTCTTCTGTCAGAAATGTGCCCCTGTGTTTTGAGGTACAGATGTATTGATCATAGATCTGCTTTTGTCTGTGTAGGATCTTCACCTTGTACAGTAAATCACTCCCACTGGACATTGCATGCCGAGTGTGGGATGTGTTCTGTCGTGATGGCGAGGAATTTCTCTTCCGCACAGCACTGGGGATTCTGCGTCTTTACGAGGACATCCTCACACACATGGACTTCATCCACATCGCTCAGTTCCTGACGCGCCTGCCGGAATACATCTCTGCTGAGAAGATCTTCTCCAGCATAACCAGCATCAACATGAACAGCAAGAACAAGAAATGGGCACAAGTGCGCATCTTTTTATAAACAATCACACATAAACACATTACATGCATTAAAATTAGTGCTGTCAAATGATTAATCGTGATTAATCGCATCCAAAATAAAGGTTTTTGTTTACAAAATATGTGTGTGTACGGTGTATATTTATTATGTGTATAAGTACTCACACATGCATGTATATATTTAAGAAAAACGTTGTTTATACATAAAAAAAAAAATTATATATATATTGATATTATATAGGGCCTATAAATTATATAAATATATACGTGGAAATATTTTCAAAATATATACTGTATGTGTGTGTATTTATATATACATAATATACACAGTATACATGCATATATTATGTAAACAAAAACTTTTATTTTGGATGCGATTAATTGTTTGACAGCACTAATTAAAATGAATGCATATATACTGAATTAAACAGTATTTATATATATATTAGGAGTGTGAATCGGCTCAGGTTTCACGATTCAATTCCATTATGATTATCATGTCAACGTTTCAATTCAATTCGATATCACGATGCATCACGATTATATCAAATTTATTGTGTGCATTTTTATTATTATATAAGCAGACTACTTTTTAAAGTAATTAATATATAATTAATTATTAAGAATTAAAAGTAAATATAGCTTCAAAACATACAAGCAAATATAAAGTAATAAAGGGGGGGGGAGACGATTACAAGTGATAAACAAAAAGCACTTTCAGTATCTGGGAGGGCTTTAAGTATCGAAAGTTTACAGATAATCAGTGTTTTTCTTTTTCTCAGCATTATTGCCATTTGATTATTACAGATGAGATCATAGATACTGGCAGCTTTAATAGACTGCATTCACACTAATGCACAGATCTATTTCCACATACAGATGTTTTGTTCTGTTCTGAAAACATCACCGTGTTTACATCAATTTCGTAACATAAAGGTAGATGCAAGTGCATTTAACCGCAGCCGCCAGCTTCAGGACAAACAAACACAAAGCGCACGTGAAAGTCTGTCAGTACGTGAGTTTCGTGCATCTAATATGTACTGCATTCCAAACGGCAGAAATGAAAGCATATCTAAAGTAAAAGACGAACATATCAGCGAGTGGAAGCACTGTGAAGCAATGCGCACGTGTCTCACAGCGCATTTTCTGTGCAATGAATCCCGCCGCGTTTGTCTCTAGCGCACACAAGTCGATTATCATATACAAGTCTCGTACCGGCAGGAATTGTAGGTGGGGGGAGTGAATGTACAGCGCTCTCTCCCACCTTCAATACCACAACTTGAGCAAGGCACACTTAGGATGGGTTAAACGCAGAGCACTAATTCCTAGAGTATGGGTAACCATACTTGGTCACATGTCACGTCACGTCACACATGTGCCATATGCGGGGAAAAGCCGAGATGGTCCTCACTGCAGAACACAAGATCCAGGGGGCGAGGTTGGATCCAGATCCAACTCCTCCCACCTTACATATACCTAAACCTACCCATCTCCACCCCCTAGATGTGGATCCAACCCCGCCCCCTGGATCTTTCTTCTGCAGTGAGGGGCTACTTAAAGAGCCAAGCCCCGATTTAAAAATAGAGAGTGCATTTTTATTACTCGCGTGACAAGCGCGTATGCGAATAACGTCATAGGCTATAATCGATTATGGTCTATTACTGCCTCTATGCAGAATCGTCCACGTCCGCATGGCGATGCAACGATTAATTTCGACACCCCTTACATATATACAGTATATGTGCAATATCACTCGAGTACGAGAGCGATATCGGCTCTATATCAGCATGGCTGTGATTAGGCCAGAGGAGGCAATCACAGCCGCTGATATTAAGCCGGTATCGCTCGAGTCGACCGAACGTCTATCCAAACATCTTGAGCTTTGAGCGTCTTAAACCGTGGGTGACCCACGTGACGTCAGCGTCTTGAAATTAGCGGATGTTTAAACATTTAAGGAGCCAAACTGCTGTGTAAAGATTACAAGCATTACAATAATGATATTTTATACCTAAAATAATACTCAGCCATTTCCTGCATCCTGCTGTACTTCCCTGAATAAGTCTTTAAAGGTGTTGTAGGCTAATAAGTCGTTCTGAGTAATAAATTGAAAAAGCTCCCACCTGTATATGACTAAACAAAATAACATGTAGTTTACTTGAGGTTCTGTTATAAATGTGTCTATTAGAAACATTCATTTAAATTAATTATGCAAAAAATGGTTTGAAATGAATTAAGACTTCCCGAGTTTTTTAACGAAAGTCCTGAATGACTGTTATTAAAGGTCATTTAATGAATTTTAATGATTTTCAATGCCCCGCAGAAACCCTGCCTATGTTGGAAAAGTAAATAAATAATTTTAATTATGTTTGCTTATGTTATAACACTTTTCAGTAACAATATTTCATATTACAGTAAATGTATATATTTAAACATAGGCCTATACAGACGCTCAAAGGTCAAGATGTTCGGATAGACGTTCGGTTAGAGTCCCGTCGGATTGCATCGGCTGTGGGGATGAAGACGGCAACTCTCATGATTCCACACTCAGTCAGTGTCAGCAAACTACGCCTTTGTCTCTTTTGAATACGCGCCCCTAGCGGTGAAAAATTACATATTGTGCCTTTAAGTCCCCACCATGATATAAATCTGTACACACACACACAGTACTAACATTCAAAATTTTAGGGTTGCTAAGAATTTTTAAAATGTAATGTTTTTTAAAAGTCTCTAATGTGTCCCAAGGCTGCATTTATCCAATCAAAAATACATAAAAAAATGTAATATTGTGAAATATTACATTCAGCAACCATTACTCCAGTGTTCAGCATTATTTGGTGCTCTTTCTTATTTCTTTGAGCTTTACAACACATTTCTCATTATCATCAATGCTGAAAACATTTAAGATTTTTGTGGAAACAGTGACACATTCTTTCAGGATTCATTGATGAAGTTTAAAAGAACAGGTTTTATTTGAAATGGAAATCTGTTTAATGTTATATTTGACTTTCTTTACTGTCATTTTTTGATAATTTAATTTGTCCTTGCTAAATAAAGTGATCTGTTTCTTTCAAGACAAATTTTACTGACCCCAACATTTTGAATGTACGGTGAATAAACAGTGGATTGAGAACCCCTCCATATTTCACATTTTATGTTGCAGCCTTATGGTAAAATGCTATTTTTTTTCCACACTTCATAAACTGTAGTGACAGAGCAGACACTAGATTGTAATAACTCTGCAAATGTATTAAAAAAATGAATTTAAAAGCATTTTAGCACAAGGCTGCAACAAAGTATGATAAATTGATAAATACTTTCGGAATTATATTTTAGTTAAAAAAGGATTAAATGTTAATAAATAGCAGAGTGATACAATGCTGTTCATTATTTTAATTGTGTTTTTACTTCACTAGTCTTTTTTTTTTTTCATTCTTTTGTACCTCTAGGTTCTTCAGACTTTGCAGAAAGGACAAGACCGTGGCAGTCCGCTACTGAAACGCTAAGGATGCAACCTCATGTCTTCTCTTCCACCTCACAGAGACTGAGAGAGAAACTCATGTTGACTGTCCATGGGTACTCCTCATCAGAGAATATCAGTTCCAGTGGCCACTGTATGTGTCCTCTTCCATACAAACTGATGCCTGGGAACACAAACTGACCTCACAGGGCTGGAACAGAGGCAACACATCACATGAATGTACACTCCTGACTCTCAGTTAGGTGTGGCAATGTGAGTTTTATTTCATGTCTCTGTCCTCTCATTACTTTCTTTTCTGCCTCCCTCAGCTTAAATGAGACATTTCCATTTAAGCGAAATAAAATGTTTTGCTGTGGTTTTCTGAGGTTGTTTTTATTTGTTGTATGTTTTCTCCTGTGTTGATTTTTCCATTGTTTCTAAGACTTATTGCACACTGAACTATTATTTATTCTACCTCTTACTCCCTGTGTCTGTAATCTGTGTTTCTGTCTCACAAATGTCTTTATTCAGAGATTTGAGTGGATACTGAAAGATATTGCTGTGTTCATGGTATTGTTACTGGATTCTCTGTCCCTTTTTACTTTTTTCTCTTTTTTTATAGAAAGTGTTGTGCCAGTCCAAAACCAAACATTCTGGAATACCAGCGTTTCTGAAGTTCCAAAGTTTGGTTTCAATTCAAGCTTACAGTACAGGACTTTAGCATAATAAATGTGGCTTTAACATTGTGGTGCAGCTTGGATCTCATGGTGGTTGAAGTGTTGAAAAGAAGGTAGATGAGAGATTGAGTAGGAGTACGAGTTCAGTGATGATGGTGGTTTTCAGTCATACGGCTCGTCGCAGCATTATGCTTGACATCTCATATTGTCTTCATTAATAACAGAGAAACAAGCCTCTCTAGATTTTGCAGTAAATTATTCCTGACATTCAACACTTCATCAAATTGAGATTAAAATCAGATAAAATTTATAAAATACCATGTTATAATACTTAAAGTCTTTACTTGTTTCATGTAAATAACATGCACTAAACTGGCCTAATTTTTGGGACCATAATATGTAATGGCAATAACAGCATTTTTCACTCTTTTTTAAGTTTAGAGAAGTGAATGTCATTTTGGTGAATGTTTTTCACTGAGAAGTATTGACAGTATCACGTTAAGCATTCAGATGCTTATTTATTATACTGATTAGAAATCATGGAAGTTCATGGATTATTATTTTTGTGAGGAAAAAGAGCTCAATTTCATATCCTCTCAGAGAGTGTAAGTGTGTGTACTGCATGTACACACAGTAATATGTAAACAAGCTATGAAGGCACCAGAATATTGAATGGCACTTGATATCTTGCACACTCCAAAGTAAGTTTATGTTCAGATCTTATCAAGATAATGTGGTGAGATTTCACTGCTTTGTGATCACTGTGATCGAAGGAAAACCTCCCACCTTTTTTGTGGTCTAAACCACACTACTGCAATAAGCTGCTTTGCACATTTTTTTTCCCTTTATCATAGATTTACACTGTCGTCTTTACTATGCTCTCTGCTATTTCATGTTTCGTTTCTTGTTCATTACCATATAGGAACCCCAGGAACTTGTTTTGTGTTAATGTTGGCTGTTTTCATTATAATCCGATTATTCATTGCCCTCAATTTTAAAATATTTTTTATATCTGGGGGACACACACCAGGAGCTTTAAGTTAATGGCTTTTTATTTTTGCCTTAAGTCCAAGGTTTTGAAATAACTTGCATATATCAGAAAAAGAACTTAAAAGACTTCATATGTATCCAGTGCTTTCAGCTGTTTGAGTTCATGTACAATAAAAGGAGTGAATACAATCTTAATTGTAATGAAAGAGGACGTGTTTCATGTTATGTTGCGAGTACTTGAGTGTGCGCATCATCATAAACAATTCATGCTGTTCAAAAGAGCAAAGGCCATCCAGGAACACATGATATGTTGGTAATGAAGTAGAGTAATGTATTGTGCAATGTGTTTATGTGGGAATTGACAGAATTAGGTGGTAAGATGAAGGCATTAGGATGTGCAATGCATCTGTGCCCACATATGAATAACTGGCCAGTCCAAACTATTTAATGTGAGCTTTTTATTCATCTGTATCAACACTGTATGAACATTGAAACGTGTGCAGACTGTGCACACTTGAAGCTTTCAGATGTTATTTGAGCATGCACTGATGCAGCTCTCACAACCCGCTTTGACCAATCTCTGTTCTTCTGTTGTCCTTTTGTCCAAAAATGCTGCCTTTGCTTTTGTTGTGTCAGTACAGAATACAGATGATATAGTAATAAATAAAGTTGTATATATTCATGTTCTATTGCCTGTTCACTTCATTAGTGTGCACATTGAGAATAATGGCACTGAGATGGTGAGTCATACATGAGGTGCAGTTTTGCTACATGAAATAACCACAAAACTGTTTCCTGTAAGACTTATGAGCACTGTTTTTCTGTTTTGATCACAGTGGAACATTTCTCTCCTATAACCTGCCCCCTTACTAAAACCACACTCGCCCCCTCCTCTTTTGCGTTTAAAACCCATGGTAAAGTTTATAGTACATTATCCTCTTGATATCGGCGTTATCTCAAGAAGAAGAAGAGCCATCTGCAGCTATGCGTCAGTATTGTCTTTGTCTTGTCATTGGTCTTCTGGCGGTTGCATTCCTCCAGTCCAGTGTAATGGGCAACAGTAAGTCACCCGAAAGCTTCATTCTTTATTTGTTCAGTGGTGTGAACTGACATTTATCAAAAAAAAAAAAAAAGGCTTTATCACTGTTGTAAAGCTCATTTCCAAGAGTGAATTAGTGATCTAATGATTTTTCTACAATGAGCAATTTCTGTTAACATTTAGGTGATTGACGTCAAAATATTTATTACATCAATTATATTTTTCAACACAGATGCAAATTTACCATCTGAATGCTGTTTTAATTATCGTGGGAGAAAAATCCCCATTGCTAAAATTGATTCCTACATGGAGACAAGAGTGGAATGCGTCAAACCAGGAGTCATGTGAGTTTTCATTTGTCATCACAATCATAATAATTTGTAAAGACGGTTGAATGGAAATCTATTATACTGTGTATAATGAGTTCTGTGTGGAGTAACTGTGATCTTTTCCTTCTATCAGTTTTGTCACAAAGAAGGGTTATCGTATCTGCGCGGATCCTCAGCTGAGCTGGGTGAAGAGTGCCATGAAAGCATTCGATGATCGTGATATTTGGTGATGATCAACATGCTCACAGGAACGCTTTTGTTTGTTTCTTAAGTGAAGTATTAGCTCAGTAAACCCTCTTCCTGTAATGCTCTGTCATTCTTTTCATTGTTATCGTGAGGCATTATGTCAAGTAAATGCATTGTTTTGATGAGCTTAGTATTTCGTTAACATTCTGCTTTAAATGCTAAACCAATTGTTTTACCTTTAACTGTAGTGTTAATTTTACTGCAAAATAACACATGTAACCAGACAACAATCACCCTGTTCTTACCAGGATTACAGGGATGATTTATGATAGCCTTTTTTATGTGTAGACTGAAAAAATAAATTTGCTTTTGTTTTATTCTGTGTGAAAACGGTTGTCTTTTACAATGTTCTTAATTCTAATAAAACAGAACACAAAATGCCTTATGATGAATTTTGTTGTAAAATCATCAGCATTCCTCAGTTTTACTGTACATCAGAAACAACGGCATAACAGAGCTTATTCAAAACGAGATGAAATAAATCAAAACTGTTTGACTGACAGAAAAAAAAAAAAGGTAATATAAATGGTGACACAGAACCAAATTAACTTCAGGTTCTCTTAAGGCAACTCTTTAAAACACAGTTTAAATATTTGTTTAATGTTTTTACTATTTATTTATAATAATAAATATATGAAATAGGCCTATTATTAGCCCTCTTCTGTCATTTTTGACCGAAACATTTTATATTTTGAAATTGTAAAACTCTTAGCTTCATCGGAATGAGATGACATTTGGTGACTTTTGTCACATTAGCAATATAATATGAACACAAAAATAATCATGGACATGATTCGGATATATTAAAAGGCATTTATATATCAAAAAAAAAATAGTCACACTTGACTTCTCGGTCAAAAATGACCGACATAGAAAATGAATGGGAAATACGAAAAAATTTGAAAACTCGAATCTTTTGGTGGTACAAACTACAAGTCAGCCACTGGTCAGAAAAAAAAGTGTGCAGCAATCAAGGGGTGACTCTCTAGAATATCAAGAGTGCAAAATAGACACCCACACATATATATATATATATACACAGACATGAACTGGTAAGACTTCAACAGAACAAATTTTGAAAATGTGAAATAAAATAAAGAAATTAAAAAAACAAAAACAAAAGAGTCTCTCTCACACACACATATACATCTACACACACGCAGCAATGAGCTGGTAAGACTACAACAGCAAATTTTGAGAATGTGAAATAAAATCAATAAAAGGAAAAAATACAAAAGGGTCTCTCTCTCTCACACACACATAGAAATGAACTGGTAAGACTGCAACAGAGCACATTGAGAGAATGCGAAATAAAATCAATAAATGAAAAAAAAAATACTAAAGTCTGGCTTTCTCTCTCACACACATGAACTGGTAAGACTGCATCAGATAAGACCGCTTTTATTGAAATAAAATCAATAAATCATAAATCAAAAAATCCAAATGTGATTCTTATTCTCTCTCTCACACACACACACTATTTGTTTATAAAACAATCACCTTTCCCCCCTGCCTGCTGCCACGACTATAAGATCATGGATCAAATATTCTCCTCCAGTAACCACCAGTTAAAACAGTGAAGACCTGGGCACAGTTCATTCTTCACCAAAATGTCTAGAAGATACACTGCTCAAGTGGCCCTGGAACACTTGCTTCAGTCAAGTGACAATGAAGAAAGTAGTGAACCAGATGACCCTTATGATGCAGAGGAAGACTTTACAGAGGCTGACCCTGATTTTGAGATCACAGAGGAGCAGCATTCAGATGAGGATTCAGTGGAGGAATGCCCTGAGGAAGATCCAGATTTTCTCTCTAAAAATGGGGAAATACTTTGGAGTTCGTCTCCTCCACCACAAACACCAGCAGAGGAGATCATCAGAAAGACACCTGGGGCCTCATTTATAAAATGTTGCGTATAAGCCGTCTTAAATTTGTTCTAAGATCATTTCTCAAAAGTGCGTAAGTGCGATTCAGAGAAAACGAACGTGCACACAAAAACACGTGCGTACGCATCTCTTCCAGATGTGACATTCATAAATCGCAAATGATCTTGAAATTGTGCGCAGCTGACTGGTGTCAGATCTCCGCCTTGTAAACGCCCCCTAATTAATATCATTACCATATAAAAGAGCACACGCCAATATCTGAATTTCTATGCTTGAAGCACAAGCATAGAGCACAAAGAAAAAAAACTCTGAAATTGAGGTCCTGCTGGTAGAGGTTCGTGCGGGGACGCATTTTATTTAATAATGTGTAATTATTCTGTGGACAAACAATGTGTGTGTGGTAGTGATGCGCGGATGAGCTAAAACGTCACCCGAATCCACAGCTTCAAATAAATGATCCACCCGACAACAACCGCCCGCACCTGTATTTTTGTCTGATTTAGATAACCGCACCCGATCATCACATTAGGGTTCGTACGGTCATAAAAAAACCTGGAAAAGTCATTGAACAGCAATTTCCAGGCCTAGAAAGTTTTGTAAAAATAAATAAGCTCAAAAAGTTTTATGAAAAGTCATGAAAATCTATTTCACAATTCTCTGTATAATAGAATTATGTTTAATCAGATACTGAAGTTCGTTGCGGGATTGCGCATACATCGCATTACTCATTCCCGCAGCTTTCGACTTTAAAATGAGGGAAATTACTGCAAAACCTTTATTCAATATAGCGTGTAGGTTAGATGAGTAAATAAATCCACACAAACCATCAGATGAAAACAGCG